GGGGGCAACCAGGCTGGCAGGGGGGGCAGTTTGGGGTGACCAGGCCAGCAGGTGGAGCAGTAAGGAGTGGCCATGCTGGTGGGGGGGGACAGTTAGGAGCAACCAGGCCAGCATGGGGGGCAGTTAGGGGCAATCAGGCCAGCATGCAGAGGAAGTGAGGGGCAATCAGGCAGGCAGGGGGGCAATTAGGGGTGACCAGGCAGGCAGGCAGGTGAGCAATAAGGAGCCAGCAGTCCAGGGATGAGGGATGGGGCCTAAACCTGCAGTCAGACATCCCCCGAGGGGTCCCGGATTGGAGAGGGTGCTGATTGGTTGGGCTGAGGGGACCCCCCCTCCCATGCACAAATTTCATGCATTGGGCCTCTAGTTGTAAATAATGCTGCAATAAACATAGGGGTACATTTATCTTTTCAAATTAGTGTTTTTGTTTTATTTGGATAAATCCCCAGAAATGGAATTGCTAGATCATATGGTAGTTCTGTTTTTAATTTTGGGGGAAACTTCAAACTCTTTTTCATAGTGACTACACCAATTTACATTCCCACCAACAGTGCACAAGGGTTTCCCTTTTTCTACATCCCCACCAACACCTGTTATTTTTTGACTATTGATAATAGGCATCTGACAAGTGAAGTGATATCTCATTATGGTTTTGATTAACATTTCCCTGATAATTAGTGATGTTGAGCATCTTTTTATATGTCTGTTGGCCATCTGCATGTCTTCTCTGGAGAAATATTTAATCATGTCCTCTGCCCATTTTTAAACAAGATTGTTTGGTTTTTTTAGATATTAGTTCTGATAGTGTGACTAGAATCCTCAATCTCTATTTAGCTGTTTACCTCCATCCCAAGTCTCCAAGGCAAATTTTCTTGGCAAATACCCACTCTTTGTTTTTGATTTGGGGGCACTATGATTCCACTCTCCATTTGTTCAAGTAAAAATGCTGTGTATGTTTTTGTGTTTTGATAAACAAGAAATACAGGTTACAGTAGTTATCACTTGAAAGTAGAACTGGGGTGGAGGGCAAGTTTTACTTTTTGATGTATACTCTCTGTGCTATTTGCATTATTTTTACAATGAGCATATTTTATTTTTGTGATAATTTATTTTCAATAAACTTTTTATTAAAGTAAACCTTTATGTACAAAAAAGTGCACAAATAATAAGCTTGATGAATTTTCATAAAGCAAACACACACATTGTAATCATCACCCAGATCAGAGACCTCTGAAGCCCCTTCTTTTCTCCTTCCAAACACCTCTACTTCTTACAAAAGTAACCACCATTCTGCTTTCTATCACCAAAGATTAGTTTTGACTTAGAGCTCTAGTTGCTCCTTATCCTTGATAGCACTTAGTACCACCAGTGTTATTTATCTTAGCTATTCTAACAGGTCTGTAGTATTAACTCATTGTGGTTTTGTTTTGCATTTCCCTAATGGCTAATGATGTTAAAGATCTTTATATGTGCTCATTTGTCATCCATATGTGCTCTTTGGTGCTAACATCTTCCATAAATATAGAACATAATCATTTTTCATTGCTTGAAAATAATAACGATATTAACCTGATTAAGGAATAGTCTTTGAGTGTAACAATCCTTCTGAGAGGCAGATTGTGTGTGGGGGGGCGGGGGGCGGGGGTGGAAATAGCCAGAATTTGGTAGCAGACATTCCAGGCTACTCTATTTACTGTGGGATCTTAAGCAAATTATTTAACCTATTTCTGCCTTGGTTGCTTTGTCCTTAAAGAGGGATGATAACAGCTCCTGCTTCATAGGGTTGTCCTGAGGATTAGGTGAGAAAATATGTAAGGCTCTCTGTCCCATGGCTGACAAGTTAAATGTTCATCAGAGTCTCTCTAACCTTCTGATAAAGCCTGGAAAGAAGGCAAGTAACAAAGGGTTGTTCGTGAGGCAGCCAGTGACTTAGTGTTTTAGGGAGATTCCTCATTCTCTGGCTCTAAGGGGAAAAAAACCCCACTCTAGAGTTGTGTTCTGAAGGCAGGATTCTGTCCCCTCATTTCCTGCTTGCCGTCCTCCTTCCCTCCGCCAAACACAGCAGGAGCAGCTTGCTTCTAAGGAAATTTTAGAAGAAATTTCTAGTCATAACTGGGCTCTTGGGTCCTGCTTCACCCTTTATATGATTTTAACACCTACTGCTGTGTGTCTGTCCAAAAGACAAGCCCCCCAACATCTTTCTGTATAATTTCCAAAGGTTTTCCCATTGATGTTTCAAGCAGGAGTGGGTGATGGCCCTGTGCCTAACTTCAAGTAGTCAATATCACATCAGCAAATATTTGCCCAGCACTTAGCAAGCACTAGGCTCTCTGATAGATATGGGGAACCAAACTTAAAAAAAAACCTGCTATTTTAGGATTTCACCACAGTGCACTGGGGAAGCACCACAAGAGAGCATGTGCAGCGGGTTGTGGGAGCATACAGGAGGAGTGAGGTGAAGGCGTGAGAGAGTCAGGGAAGATTTCTGCAAGAGGAAAAATCAGAGCCCTGAGGGAATGTTCTGGGTGAAGGAACAATTTATTCCAGGTATGGAGAATAGCATGTGCAAGGACCCAGAGGTTGGAGACCAGGGGTTCTTTCTCCTCTTGAGCTGCATGATAGGGACCAAAACCTTGCGTTGGGCTCTGCACAACACTCCAGGTTCTTCCAATTGTCCATTAATTGATATTGGAGCACAGAATATCAAGGCTTAACAGTAAAAACATTCCCTTTGTTCCATGGTAAAGGATCTCAGGGATCAAGTGCTTTATAAGTGGGTACATTTTTGGCACCCATTTTCCTTCAGAAATCAGCATGATATTAATAAGCATATAAGACTTGTCTGTGTGGTTCTGGCTCTTTTTTTTTAACTCCCTGACTCCAGTCTCAGCCTGCCTTCTGCATCTGCCCCCGAGCTCCAGAGCTCTGGTAGGCTGGCTCTTAGCTCCTATGCCTCCAAACCCTTCCACACAACCTGCTCCTGGGCCCCCTTATGTCACCCCTACTCTAATCTTTCTTTTTGACTTAATTTTTTCACAGGTCTCTCCTCTCTCTTTGTCTCTCTCCAACTTCTAACTGCTGTCCTCCAAGCTGCCCTCCTCAGTTCCAGCAGTCCTTGTCTGATCCCTCTTGTGGTCCATTCCTGATAAACCCTTGTGTATTTCTGAAATGAGTGCTTCTGCTCCTAACTCATCTACATATCTTCATAGGACACTGTCTTCTTATTGGGGATCTGACTCAGGAGACCTCTAGTTATCCTAGCGGTGTCTCCTGGGGCCAGCCTCATGGTTTCATAGAGAAACAGAGGCTCAGAGAAAGGGGGTGACTTACCAGGGTCATGCAGCAAGTTAGTGGCAGAGCAGAAACTAGCCCAGGCCTTCAGACTTCTAGCCAATGCTCTTTCCCAGGAACCAGGCTGCTTCTCACAAGGCTTAGGTCTTCTAGCCAGCAGTAGCTCCCACCCACTGATGGCATAGTGCAACCATCTCTGTTAGCACTTCCTTCCTGAGCATGTTCATTAAGAATGAAGCTGGCCCATGCAGGCTTCTGACTCAGCAGCCTAGCGAAGAACATCCAGCCATGTCTGCATATGATTAAGGAAACACCAGGAACAGAAAACTCCCCTCCCCTCGCCCCCTCCCCACATCTGGCAGAGTGAGGGTTGCAAAAGGAAGCAGAGAGATTCAACTAAATGGTAAGATGTTGGGGACCATTGGGGTGGGGTGGGAGTGTGAGGGCCTATCAAAAGATTTAGGATTACTAGTTAAATACATTTTGGTACAGAAGTATTTTTACTAACATAGAAGGACCCCTGTGACACACTGTTTAAATATCATGCCAAAAGTAGCATGTTCCCATAGTTCCACTTGTCAAAATAAGTTGAGAGTGTCCCCAAAGTGCCTATAAGTGGTAGTTAAAAATTAGTTGTATGTTCCCTTCCATTCTCTGTAATCATGTTAGTTTTTGCCATTAGGTTAATAGTTGAAAATGATTAGGATACACTTCAAGAGCTGTTGTGGCACAGGTGTCCACCTGAAAATAGAGTTGAGAACTTTTCTCCTTCACAATGTCCCACAGTGAACAGGGCCATCTTTCTAAGTGTGCACTTAGAACAGATTCCACTGCAGCACATTTACTTCTAATCCAATTGGAAATTTTGACACCAAGATTTTTTTAACTAGAAAAAGCAGGAAGCCCTGATGCCTCCTATCATACAGGGTCACTGATGCCTGGATGCTTCTCTCCTGATGTGGGGGAACCAACCATATCTGAAGCAAATTCAAATAAGCAATCAGATTGACAATTATAATGAGTTGAATAGTGTTCCCCCAGAACTCTTATTCACATTGAACCCTTAATGTGACCTTATTTGCAGATATTAGTTAAATTGAGATAAGGCCACACTGAATAAGGGTGGGCCCTCATACAATGACTGAGGTCCTTACAAGAAGAGGAAAATTTAGACACAAACACACACCAAGGGAAAATGGCAATGTGAAGACAGAAGCAGAGATTGGAGTGATATTGTCACAAGCCAAGAAACATCAAAGATTGCTGGCAACCACCATAAGCTAGGGAGAGTCAAGGAAGGATTCTACCACAGAGCCTTCAGAGATCTCAGACTTCTGGCTTCTATAACTGTGAGAAAATAAATTTATGTTGTTTTAAGCCACCCAGTATGTGTTACTATGTTACAGCAGCCCTAGGAAACTAATACAACACTTCTATAGACAAAATTGTCCCCATCTTATGAAATACTGTTCCAATTGTGACATGTGGAGAAAGATGCTTATCAACAGAGGACACACTCTCAAGCATAGGGACAATATGGTCCCTTTGACTATGTTCTATACTGATCTATACATTCATAGAGAAATGTCTTATACTTCAAGTCTTGTTTCTGGGTGATAAATTCTGGGAGATTTCTATCCTTTTGCTTTAACTTGTCTGTATTTTCTAAGTTTCCCACAATGAATATATATGACTTGTGTAAAAATATATATCTATATCTACCTGTCATATAGTAATCCATCTATTTATCTCTATTATTAGTACTCTCATGCACTTACAAAATCCTTCCAAGTGAAATAGTCACATGGTACCTTTGTTTCTTGTAGGCACAAGGTTAGGAACTACTACCTAAAAGCCCTGGCAAGGATGAGGGTAGACAATAATAAAATCACATATTTTGTGTTTGACACTCTTCAAAGAACATACTTCAATATCCATTGACCAATTCAACCTCACACCCCTCTAATAGATAATAAACCCAAGTTTAGTAAGGAACTTGTCCAAGGTCTCATAGCTAATAATTCATGGGGCTATGAATAACACTCGTGGTCCTGACACCTAGTTCAGTAGCAGTTTGTAGAATGTAAGATTCATGAGGACAGTACTTTTTTTTGTCTTGTTCTCCAAGCACTTATATCTCCAGCACATAGAATGATGCCTGGCATATAGTAAAATATCAGTACATTTTCACTGAATGAATGTGACAAAGCAAGCTCCTCCTTTGAAGCATTTTCTGCTACTAGGAACATTTTTAAGACAAGCTGTTGTACTCTTTATAAGGTAGCAGGGCTACTGAAGGGATCTCTTCTCAATATCTGTCCTTCCACAGCCTACTCTTTGGTTACCTTACCCCTAAGCAAGTGATAGTTAATTTCTAGGTTGGCTTCTCACATCATCTACAAGGAGTCACCTATGCAGGATGGTTAAAGGTGAGTGTAAAAAGGGCTCCTTGTCCAAAAATAATGACACCCAGCAAAAAATTCCAGGGTCAAGAGGAGGGCAGGTTATGCCAATGGGTGTGCTTGTCAACCACAGAGTGATGTATTTGGTTCTGGGAAAAGGAACAGGACACACCAAGAAATATTGATAGATGGAGAAGATGGCAACAAGTTGGATGGAGAAGGGTCTCAGTTTAGGAATGGAACAAGAGAAATACAGAAAATATCCAAAAGTAAGTCAAGAAGGAAGACTTGTTGAAACAAATGAGAAAAAAGAAGTGGGGTGGAACAGGTAGAGACATTTCCAACCCTGCCTGTCACCCTAGCCCAACCTCTAGATCTCACAAGTGAGGATATCCCACATCCTCAACTCAGGTGACACCTTCCCATGAGGCCTTGCAGGGCATGGGTTCCAAGAAAGCAGATTTTGTACAGGCTGCCACCCCAGTTCTTTTCAAGTGCATGTTCCTAAGAAACTTTAAAGATGCTCCATTCTCTATCTAGGAGGGTAGGCACATGGCTACTCTTAGTGCTGGAAATCCAGGAAGCCAACTGAGCAGTTGGAGAAGGCAGGGAGTGCCAGGAGCCTCTGAGCACTGGGATCAGGGAGCAGAGTTCTGGGGACACTGTAGGATTTCACAATTCTCTCCTTCCTTGACATTTTCCACACAAGCAGGAGAGGAAATGGAAGCTTAAAGAAGATTATGGACCAATAAATTGTAGGTAAGGAAGTTGCTTCCTGGAAAAACTTCTCACAGAAAATGTTATTTTAGAACTATCCATATTTGGATAAGAAGAAAAGAGAAGGTTTACCAAGTAAAAAGGAAAGTTCATACCACTGTCTTAATTTCTGGACATTCCTGGCCAATTTTCTAGACAAGGAGAGGGGTGCAGTTTTAATACCAAAAGATTTCAAGAAATCACGCATGTTTGTGTCCAGGCAGAGCCACATGTATTCTGTGAAAGGAAGCCTTCCAGACCTTTGAGTTGTATGGGAGGGGAGTTGCGAGAGTGTTTTTCTTTTTTTCCAACATTGTATAATTCTGCCCCTAGCATCCTAGGTTTCACAGCATTAGTAGACACTAGGTACAAAATGCCAATTCCGGATATCACTCATGTGACTGAATCTAGGAATTAATGCATTTGTCAATTATCAATGCTCATATTCATGCTTCTTAACAAAGAACTATCACAAAATCTACTCTCATCTGGAAGAAAAATGTTAATTTATAGCTTAGGACACATAAGAATTTTCTTTCGGTGAGGTAAGTTTGGGGAGTATCTTTTACAAATTTAGTGAACAATGAAAATTACTGCATTTTCAGAGTTAGTTCCCCTGGAACTGGAAATGTGAACAGAGCCGAGTTAGTGCTAATACTTTCTCTTACTTCTGTAAGAAAGAGGAAAGACTGTGCTCAAGGTAGCAGTGATGTGCGAAAACCACAGTAGTTTTGAGAAGAGCAACTGTGGCTTTGCACAAGTTATTCCTAAACCAAGGCTGGGGACAGCATATGACATTTTTCAAAGTAGCTTCTGAACTGGTATTTCACTGAAATAAAGACTATCTTTGAGCAAGACTGAAAAGCCAAAAATCTATGTTTCATGACCTCTGCAGGAAATTAACGGCTGCATTGTGGAACATTCTAGAATGGCTGCTCAAACCATGGCCTGGAAGAACTATAGATCTCTTTGAGTTGGAGTGGGGGAGGCAGGGAAAATCTAATTCCCAATAAAGGTTTTGGATAGTTTTCCACTCTGTCTCCCCACCCCTCACCTAGTTTTCTGTCTCTTTTTTTACTACCTTCTCTAGTACAGGGGATCTGATTCAATAGCTAGGACAAAGGAAGTAGAGAAAACAGAGAAGAAAAATTAATGCCAATCTCAGGAGTCCAGAATATTTTTAATTCAAAAGTTGCCTGCAAATGTCAAGAATCTGTATCATGTACCCATTGTATTAGTAGTGCATCTAAGTATGTCGTGTACCTAGATGTGCCCTGGAAAAAGTTCTCATAGTAAATGTTATTTTAGAACTATCCATATTTGGATAAGAAGAAAACAGACGGTTTACCAGGTAAAAAGAAGGATATCACTAATGAGTAAGTAAGTGAACAGGAAGAGCAAAGAAATGGCTTGATAGCATACACTGAATCTCTTCTGTCCCTTATGGGGTTCCTTGGATTTGTTAAATACCCTATAGAACAAACTAGGAAACTTTTAAGTAGCTAACTCTCCTAAACAGCATTAAGCCCAGGCAGCTTCATGAATGAGTTCTTTTAAATTTTCAAGGAACAGATACTTTTGATACTTTAAAAAGTGTTCTAGAACAGTGAAAAATAACAGAGTTCTCACTTTATAAAAATTATTTTATTTTTTTTATTCTTTTTAAAAAATATTATAATTATTTTAAATCTTTATTGTTGGAAGTATTACATATGATATGCCCCCTCCTTTCTCCTATTGACCCCTGATAGCCCATCCCCATCTCCCATCCCAGGCCTCCACCACCCTATTGTCTGTGTCCATGGGTTATGCATATATGCATACAAGGTCTTTGGTTGATCTCTTCTGAGATTCAATGTCAGTCTGTTTCATGTTTCTATGCCTCTGGATCTATTTTGTTCATTAGTTTATTTTGTTCTTTCGATTTCACATGAGTGAGATCATGTGATACTTGTCTTTCTCTGACTGGCTTATTTCACTTAGCATAATACTCTCGAGGTCCCTCCATGCTGTCTCAAAGGGTAGAAGATCCTTATTTTTTACTGCTGCATAGTATTTCATGGTTTAAATGTACCACAGATTTTTTATCCACTTATCTACTGATGGACACTTGGGCTGTTTCCAGATCTTAGCTATTGTGAATTGTGCTGTTATGAACATAGGGTTGCATACATTCTTTCTGATTGGTGTTTCAGGTTTCTTAGAATATATTCCTAGAAGTGGGATCACTGGGTCAAATGGCAGTTCCATATTTAATTTTTTAAATTTGAACCGTTTAAAAATTATTGTTGAAAGTTTTACACATGTAGCCCATCATAGGGCTAACTCTCAATTGGTTATATTCAATAGTAAAAAGCTGAAAGGTTTTCCTCTAAGATCAGGAATAAGGAAAGAATGGCCACTTATGCCACTTCTATTTAACATAGAACTAGAAGCTCTAGCCAGAGTAATTAGGGAAGACAAAGAAATAAGGGTATTCAAATTAAAAAAAAAAAAGAAGTAAAATTGTCCTTGTTTGCAGATGACATAATCTTATATATTGAAAACTCTAAAGAGTCCATTTAAAAATATTGTCAGAACTAATAAACAAATTCAGTGAAGTTGCAGGACAACATGCAAAATCAAATACAAAAATCAGTTGTATTTCTATATACTAAAATCGAACTACCTAAAAATTAGTAAAACTATCCCATTTATAATAACACCAAAAAAGAATAAAATACTTGGGAATAAATTTAACTAAGGAGGTAAAAGTCCTGTTTACTGAAAACAGGACTGATGAAAAATTAAACAAAATAAACTGATGAAAAATTAAACAAAACACAAAAAGATTGCATGTTCATGGATCAAAAGACTTAATAATGTTAAAATGCCCATACTACCCAAAGTGACCTACAGATTTAATGCATCCCTATCAAATTTCCAATGGAATTATTTAGAGAAATAAAAAATCCTAAATATCGCATGGAACCAGAAAAGAGCCTGAATAGTGAAAACAATCTTAAGAAAGAAGAACAAAGGAGAAACCAAGATGGTGGCATAGGTAAACACCGGAAATTGCTGCCTCGAACAACCACTTCAAAAATACAACTAAAAGACAAAACGGACATCATCCACAACCACAGGAAGGCTGGCTGAGTGGAAATTCTACAATTAGAAGGAAAGAGAAAAGCACCCTGAGACTCAGAGGAGGTGCGGAAGTAAAGTGCAGAGGTACAGAGGCGCACATGGAAAGGGCTGGCAACTGAGGACACAGTTGTCTTTTTCAATCGGGAGGGAGTCTCAAGCTCCCTATGGCTCTGAACTCCAGTTCCGGGCGAGTCTCTGGGGACCCAGACTCATACGGGGAGAAACTGGACTATCTGGCATCGGTCGGAACTCAAGGGAGGCTTTCTCTCAGAGGTGCTTGCAGCAATTACCGGGACATTGAGACGCGGGGCCTCTTAGGGTAGGACTGAGGATCAGCCATAGCTGTTTGCTCCACCCTGTTCATTCCCTGAGACCCCGCCTCACCCAAGCTGTGCCCAGAGGCTTTTGCATATGAAAGGCCTGACCCTTTGCAATCTGAAAATTACCTAACAAACTGCAGCTAGGTCAGAGAGACCCAGAACTTCCAAAAGAAGGCCCAAGGCCCCACAGCAG